AAGTCTTTATTGTACTAGCTTGGATACCTCATTTCAAAGGTGGAGACCCTGCATCAACATCAGCTAAAATCCTTAGTAGCCTCCTTCAGCTTATTCAGATTGGCAACATTTGCACGCAGTGTTCCTTTCAGCATGGTGATGGAGAAATTATTACAACCTTGGTTGAGGAACATCAAGCTACCCTAGGGGATGGATGGCCGCATAAGAAGAAAAAGCCCAACTTACATTTCGCCGAACATATTGGCCACATCTCCACACTTCTTGGGCCTCCAGCTTACACAGCTAGCTGGTCAGGTGAGCGGATCATTGGAGCGCTTGTGCAGACCTCAAAGAACGGAAATCAAAGTGTGTTTGTTCCTAATTTGTACAAGTAGGATGCAGCAACTGACCCCAATTGTTTTGAGTAGGAAAAGTGGGTGAGACCCTCCTCAAACAGCATTCAATGCGTGGATTCTTTCAAGCAATGATTAACAATAGCCATCCTACCATTGATGCTGACCCTATTATCAAAGAATATCTACAACAAAACCGCCGGACCAAGTGGACTGCAAAAAAACTCAGTTCTCAAGCATTTGAAGCACTTCAAAAACTTGGGATCCTTGGCCCAGACAAAACTTCTGCATCCACTTTTGAAGTTGCTAAAAGCCTTGTCATTTCTAACAAGCCACACAGTACATACAGCAAAAATCCTGGAAACAGCTATATATCATACTCTTTGGACTCATGTAACAGGGTTGGTAATATCACCAACATTGTCAAGCTTCCTGATGTCACCCAGCCAGTTCTAGTTGTCAGATCTCTGAAGTTTCTCAATACTGAAGACAAGCACAAGGACCCCTATGATTCCTTGCCAAGATTGCTTAATGCATCAGTTATATATGATTTGTGTGAGGATTATCATGTTGTTCCATGTCACAAGGTGATTGGCCAGCTTGTTGTACAACATAACACGGCAGGTACATTTGATATTGCTTGCCCAACACTTTCAATAGTGCAGCTCAACAATATGGTGAGTTCCTGAGATTATCACTGCGCTCAATAGAGTCACCATGTAGAAGTTTCCTGATCCATTTTTCAACTTTCCAGGGCTTTGTGCAGGAACTTAATCTGGAAGACGATGCCATGGATATTGAATAACCATGAGAGCAAGAAGATGTTTTGATGTGGCCTCAATGTAAAAGTTCTCCCTTTCCACTTGTTCTGGGTTCACAACATTTTCGTTCCTTTATTATCTCCAAAAATTCAAGAATCTGATTCATGAACTGTGTTGGGTTTGATCTGTTCATCAATTTTTGTTTTTGATACAAGGTATGTACACAAAGAATATCAAAAAAATAATGTGAAGTAAGAGAAAAGGAAACACTTGTCATTTTTGGTTTTGAGCTTTTGTTTTAACAACTCTGTTCATTAGAATTATTAAGGATCATGATTAAGGATCATGAGCGCTTGATTCCATCAAGCTACCCTGCTATTACAACATGGTTTGTAATTGAGTTGGAAATATGACTCCATTATAGGAGGTGACTGGATATTAAGAAAGGATAGCTGATGAGTACAAACTTTGCTGCATAAGAAGTTCTCAGAATGCAATTTATCATCCTAAGCAATTTAAAAGAAGCTGTTGGAAGATTTTGGAAGATCAATTCACATCTGCAGCTGTACTACTGAACTAGCTGCAGGTGCATCTGCAGCTCATGCATATCCCCCACTCAAACTGAAGCTGAGGTCAATTTGATATTGAATTGAGATTGTTTTGAGATTGTTTTGAGATTGTTTTGAGGTTGTTTTGAGGTGAATCGTACTCACTGGCCTGCCAGTGAGTAGTAAAATGTCACTGTGTGGACTCTCTCCATACTTTTCAATTCAAATTCATCCAAGCTTCAAAAATCAAAATCAATCAATTTTGAAATTGATCGACTCAATCTCAAAATCAAAACCAAAACCAATCTATTCATTCTGAATGAAATCAGAAGTTCCAATTCATTTGACTCAATCAACTTCAAAATCAAATCCAATTTATTCATCACTTTGAGTTTGTTATTTTTGACTTTAAATTAATTTTTGGAAGCAATGCAGGTTGAGGTGAGCTTATCTTTTGTTACAATTTTATTCTCCACCTGTCTACAACTATAGCTGACAATAAACAATCCTCCCAGCCAACCCGCAGACCTCGCAGAACCAAAGTCCAGCTTGCGCAAGATCTTATTGCTAGTGGACGTACAGGCAAGGGCAAGCCTACAGCTGCAGAAGTTTGCTGATCGCTTGTAGCCAGCAAAGCTTGTGGTCAGCCGGCTGGAGGATTTTTTTTTTTATGCATTGCTTAGAGTGCCTCCTGAGCCAAAGGCTATCAGGCACTGTAACTACTTGTGCTCCGCTCCAGTAAAAACCCCTGTGGGGAAAAGGAAACGTGCTGGCTGTTTGAAGTATTACAAGTGTTATTTTTTTGGATACATGTGGTGGCGCTAAAGGATTGAGTTACATATGAGATGAATTTAGATTGGAGGATTGGGGATGTGTTGAGGAGTAGCCTCATCGGTAATTTTTGCCCAGACCCAGAGACTTTTGAGCCGCCACGTTGAGTTGCAGAATTTGGCGATGCTTTTGAAGGCCTTCCGGTTGTTGAGTATATACATCTCAAAATGCTCCAAATCCTAATGAGCAAACTCGCCGCAAACCCCCATCCCAGCCGCCTCAGTCTTCAGGAGCACCTAAATCAGGTTACATCAACCCAAACTTTGTTATGCTCGCCTGGGAAGAGATTGTCAATCATTTAAGTCGTCCCAACTTCCGGAATGCGCTTTTTGGTGGTGGGAGTAAAACTAAAGTTGTTGGACAGGGAGCAAAGGAGTTATGCAACAACCTAGCGAGTCACATCAACAACAATTTCAATTGGCGCAATAACACTACTAACATGCAACTCACTGGACGTGTACTCCAGCTGCGAATCATCCGATACAAAGGCAAGTATATGGACACAAAGCGGAAGAGTTTAGATACCGGTTTTGGAACAACCAATGCGGAACGTGTACGTGGAATGGGACCAGGAGATAAACTTGAGATGATGTGCCCTTTGTATTCAAAGATGGATGAGATTTTTAAGGACAAGGGTAATGTCAATCCTTTTGGTATATTGGACAGTGGTTTGATTGAAGAAGAAGATGAAAAATTAGAAAAGGATGAAGAAGACTTAGAAGATGAAGAAGAAGAAGACGAAAAGTTAGAAGAATTAGAAGATGAGGAAAACTTAGAAGAATTAGAAGATGAAAAATTAGATGTCAAGCCTCAAATTGGTTTCTTTGGCGCTAAAGAAATTGTCATTTCTGATTCTGACTCCAATCACGGTAAAGCCAGAGATGCCAGTACCAGTGACTATCTGCCTGCGGTTTTAACTCCCCCTCTCAATTCCCAGATTTGATCAACTCCTAAGACTCAGAACTTCAAACTGGTCAGCAAGGCATCTGAAGCCTTCACTTCAACCGGTGTTAGCCGCACTCAACGTAAACGGGCAACACCAGCTGTACGCAAGAATTGTCAAACCAAAAAACTTACATCTGCCAAACTTGCCTTAGATGATTCTGAAGGTGAGAACAACGGAGCCAATGGAAGTATGGCTGTGAAGGCATTTGAAGCCTTGACTTTGACCAGTTAGCCGCACTAAACGTAAACGGGCGACGCCAGCTGTACGCAAGAATTGTCGAACCAAAAAACTTACATCTGCCTAACTTGCCTTAGATGATTCTGAAGGTGAGAACAACGGAGCCGATGGAAGTATGGATGTGGTGCCTTATTGAGGAACTTTAGCAGGCCGGCCTTTGGATCCCCTGCCCTCAATCAACCCTTTGAATGTCCGCATCAAAGAGCACAAACATCCGGTTGCGCAAGCCGTCCAAAGTGGGAATGATGCAAAGATGTCCATCTTGAGGGACAACAGCAATTGGCGCCACTCATTTGAAGAGAAGAAGGTCGCAGAGGAACACCGCTTGACCGCTGAGAAGGCAACTGTTGAAACATCTAAGTTGAACTGGGAAAGAGAGCAATATTATCACGAACATAATGAAGCTAAGACTCTAGCTGTTTCTGAAAAGAAATTGGAAGAAGCACGCGAGAGAAGCAAAGTCGCCAAGGAGTTGGCGCTTAGTGGTAAGTCACCAGAAGAGGTGCGAGATTACCTTAATGTTATCTTTCCAAAAGATCAATGATATATATATATAACAGGTGTGTAATAGTTTTGTCTATCTTATTTGATCTGAGTTTTGAAGCCCTTGCTGACTTTGAACTGATTTGAACATTTGGTTCAGTTTCCTCTAAATCTTGCTTTTAATATTTCACTCAGTATCTAACCAAGTAGTCAGTGTGTTGTGTTGTTCTCAGTTCTCAGTATTGCAAGATTAGTGCCCCTCCTGGGGTTTGAACTCCCACCTCATGACTGTATGGATATAATTCAAAACAGCAACAGTTCTTCAAAAATATATCATGTCTTCACCCCGGGCAAACAGCACATATGTAGCGTTGCCCCGGCCTCGCGTGTGAAGTGTCAGATGTTACATATAGTGGATTTCAACGGGGTCAGCTGTCTGAATGTGGCGTCAACTACTGTTGTTGGCGTCAGCTACCCTCGCCTACCCATGATCATTGCGACCTACCATTTTGGCCTGAGCTTCCATCCCATGGCATCCAATTTTGTTATGGACCCCCATTGTACTGTTGAATTTCAACTCATACCAGGATCTCGCCCCCTTCAACCCCTTTTGGCCGATGCTCAAAACGCACAGCCAATACGGATTTGCAAAGATGGCGAGCTTAGATCAACTTCCATCATCTTCCTCGGTTCCTTTTAGTTTTTCTTTTCATATCTGACGCTATTCTGCTTTAGTCCCTTTTACATTCTTGTACGGACCCACAGTAGCCAAATGGGACAACTATTTTTTCTTGTGGCCTATAAAATCCACAGTAAGTTCTATGTTCAACCTCTTCACCCATCCCGCTTTCATAATCAAAATATGTTACTCGCTCTTATCGACTTACTTCTGTCTATCTACCTACAGATTATTCAGTTATTGTACATCTTCCTCATGGATGAATCCGAACCTCAGGCGCTGTTGCAGGAAACCAGCAAGCAACTCGCTGCCCAGACACAGGTCATTGCTCAGATGCAAACCCACACTCCCGCGAACAAGCTTAAAACACTCTCCTCAAGAGGTTCAAAGACGTTGCAATTCAACCACCGCCTAAATCAAAGTCCAAAGCGAAACCAAAGGACGCCAGAGATCAACCTGCTGCTGGAAGCTCACAACAGCAGCCGCCCCTTGAATTAATGTCCAGCAAGACTCCCACACCCAAACGCCGCACCTCTACAACCACACCTAAGAAGACGCAGATCCCGCGAAGAACTCCAAAATAGACCCCAAAGTCTTCACCTGCTATGAAATCTGCAAGACGTGCTTCCGGCCCCCCAACCAGATCATCCCCCAAACAAAACCCTCATGAGTTGGAAATGAAGACGCTTCCGCCAGGTTATACAAAGACAAAGGTGCTTTTTTGTATAGATACATCCATTTTGGTTTCAGTTTGGTACTAATCCTTATCTTGTAGAAATCTTTCTTCACTTTCATCCGAATCATTTGGGACTTGGTGGAGGCAGGTTCAGTTCCTGTTACCCCCGATCCGACGCTTCTGAACGAATTCAACGCAAGATTCTTTGATTCAGCTCAAATCTCAGCGGCTGCCAATGCCACAGCGAGTCAGGAGCTCATTCCACAATCAGAGATAATTTCTCTTCAAGAAGCCCGAGCTGGTCATGTGAAGATCAGTAGGGGTATCGTATATGTGCAAGATTTCTTTGTTCGATACTCTCTTGCAATGTTGGCCAAGCTCGGAATTCGTAAATGGGGTCCTGATCTTAACAATGCCTCGGACTCCATGTGGAATGAGGCCTGTTGGATCAGTGCTATCCAAATCTTTAGAATGTGGGTCACTGGAAAGGCTTTTCCAAATGTGAACCCAAAGTTTGTCAACAACCTTCTTCTACTTGAACAAACCTACAACCATTACATACACTTTTTGATGACTCAGAAGTTCAAGAAGGAATCAAAGGAGGCTGGGAAGAATCAAAAAGACGATGAAAGGTAATTCAAAGGGGCCGTCAACGTGTAAGTCGATCTGGCTACGGATTTCCCTTCATCCTATGAACACATACTAATGATATTGTATGTGACTAGCTTTGAAAACTCTGCTACAAACACGCCGAGGTGCACAGTTTTCCTGAAAGGTACATCAAGATGTTGCGCAAGACTGATGCTCACAGCAATGACAAACTCGACATGGAGCAAGGCATTCAGATTGTCAAAACACCAATCTACCAATCTGAGGCGGCTGGTATCTTTATGCGACGTCTGGACGAACATATGAAGAACTCCGATATAATCCTCAATAAGCGGTCTCAAAGACACATGCGCCTTCGTCCCGCAGAACCCATCATGTCAACTTTTGCCAGACCACCCCGAGGCCTACCACTCAACTTTTACAATCCCGAATGGTGGAACAACACCCTTTCCCAATTGCAACGTGACATGATAGCAGATTGCTTTCATGTAATGTTCCTCCCGGATCCATCAGTGTCTCTGATGTGTAGATCTCATCTGGACGAGAAGCTTGGCAACCAAAAGTTTACTGACAAACATTGGGCCAGGGCGACTAAGGCCTACAACCACTGCCAGCATTAAAGAGGTTCCCAGATGGGAATATGGGTTGTAGGAATCAGACAGCCTTTGTGCCGGCATATATTACAATGGCGGTCTGATCCCTACGACCCATATTCCCATCTGGGAACCTCTTTAATGCTGGCAGTGAAATTAGAGCATTTGAATCCAGGTGATGGAAACTGGAGTGATTGATCTGGAACTAATGATGAAGACGATGAATCTGGGATTGATTTAGGTGATACAGATGATGAAGAGGAGGAGGAGGAGGAAGGAGACCAACAAAAAAAGAAGGGTAAGGGTAAGGGTAAGGCGGTACCAGAAGATTGGGCAAATTTGGCGGAATTCGGACAGCCCATTGGCGGTGGGAAGGGTGATTTTTATGTGGATGATGATGCAATGAATGAGGCGGAAGATGACGCACGTGCAACTAGATGGGATCTTTGGAATGATGCTTGTTGTACATGTAATTCTCATTTCTGTTTCTTTCTCACTTTCCATTTCTGCTGTCTCCCACTCCGCTTCCTTTTATGATTCAGTCATTACCGCTGCTTTTTTTTACACGTTATTGGTCCAATTGTGATTTTGGCCCTTCAGTTTTTATGCACTTGTGTCTTCTTCTTTCGGCTTGACTCAGTTTTCTTCCTCTCATTCATTATAACCCAAAAAATTCAGCTTCTTATGTATATATTTGGAATGTGAATAGTTTTTTTAAAAAAAAGCGAGTACAACATGAGTTGAGTTCCACTAGACGGAAAGAACAGTGAGTGAAGGCTACAATGTATTCATCCTTTCAGCTCCTAGGATCTTGGTGAATAGTTTTCATGTGTATAAAACTAACCATAGAAGAACTGATATAATTTCATGTATAAGAAAGAGCAGAATGGGGAAAATACAACCGAGGATACATGATCAAAGTGAAGAAAATACAAAATTTTAAATCATGGATGGATCAGTGTCAATGTCCATTGCCATGTCATCTCCAGCTAGTTGAGAAGCGTAAAATTCCTCCATATCGTGACTGTTTACCGGGTTTACATTTTGTTCACCAGAAGTTACCATCATTACAAGCATGCTAGGGTTATGCACACCCATAGTCCAGGCTGGGATTTTTCTAGGAGAAACTGGAGAAAGTATCACATCTACCTTGATGAATCTTCTCTCGGATCCTTCCAAAACCCGGGTAATTCCTAACTTTTTGAATACCGGATTCAGCATTTCGTCTTTGACTTCTGATAACTGTTGTACCATTGCTAGCTGTTCCGAAGTTTCAGCCAATTGCAAAATATGAAGTACCTTTACACAAGATAGCTTTCCTTCCACTTCGATACTAACAATATTGTTGGGGCTCTTCTTGCTGTATAGAAGGCCATATCATCCATCAAGACCTGTGATCTCACACACAAAAGGTCCTAAGATCCGCGCCCCATCTGGATATGGTACATTCCTGAAGTTAACCCACGAGGTATCCTGAGCATGATAATAATCAAAAAGATGATTGTATGTAATATCGTCCGCCTCAAAGCTTGGCCCAATATTTCTTTGAATTTTTCCAAGATTTGTTGTGTCAGCAGGAGGCGATCGGGCGAGTAATCTTTGAAGATGACAAAAACAATGCATTATGGTTTGAGCCATTTGTTCTACAAGACAGCGTTCTTTCTCAATCAATTAAGCATATCACTCTTACAAAATACTTATTGAACTCACCGACTTTACCATTTGTATTGATTTTCTGCAAAAATCCACACAGGCGCTCACCAGCGAATTCCGCAACCCCCGACATTGGTCCCCACCATTCCATTTGTGATGCGAGATGGATGGCATAGTGATTATTAGGTCTGATTTTGAAATTTGGGTTGATCTTCTCAGATGTACTCGTATATTTGTAATAGGCTAGTTTGAATCGCTAGGAATCACCTACCCCAATTACTCTTGATGCCACAATATGAGTGCACAGAAATTTTGCAGTAAGATTGAAAGGTGAGAATTGGCTTGGCCGGTGATGTAATCTTCGTAATTCCCAAGGGACATCAACTGCTGCCAAAGGCAAGTGAACAGCAAACAGCGTGTGCCATTCACTGGCCTTCAGCTTGCCGTTTGCAGCGGTCCCAACACCCTTTGGGATTCTTGTCATACCCGTAGGGACCTTCACCTCCCTTAAATTCTTAAGCATTACAGCTATCAAACCTTGTGAAAGCCATCCATGAGTATTTTCAATAGCGTCTTCCAATTCATCCAACTCGATTTTGGCTTCATCCAATTCTTGCTTGCCTAGCTGCTTCTTAACTTTGAATGCCCAACAATTACGGAAATGATTCGCAAGCACTCCCTCAAACCAATTGTGCATGATACCAAGACTAACACTCGTAACTGGGTCCCAATAAGGGAGTCTGTTGAGCTTGGACCATCGGACACCGGTACGCTGAACCATTTTGTCTTGTTGATCAACCGTCGTACATGCCTTCCAGGCATGTGCCGCATCCATAACTCCCCTCCTAGTTCGCTTACGTCCAATTATCATTTGTGAGATATTGACTTTTGGACACTTACATCGACAGCAGAAGAATGTGCCTGAATGAGAGGTGAACCCCGCAACCTTGTGATTCGCAACCGTATCCCCAACAAGAATGCTGAGCCGAACAGTTACCTTGCGTCCTTCCGGATGTCAATGTGTCGGAATCATGACTCCACGTTCGAGTTGAAGCATTTGATCAATGAGTGGGCCAAGGACATGAGTTGTGGTATTCATGTCCGGTTGGCTTGGACCAGGGACGACTCCAGCTAGATAGGTGAACCTGATGTGATCTTGAGGTGGCAGGTTTAAGCAGTGAAGAGCAAAGATGCCAATTGAGGCTTGTTGTCCTGAAATCTTGTTTCCGAGAGGGTTGAACCAGTCCACAAAGAGAGAGAAGCCCAATTGTAATTCATGAGACGAACTATCTTTGACTGATGATTTTTTGAGTGTGGGATAGAGGGTGCTCCACACTTGTGACTGGACATAATCCAAAACACCATTTGACTCTGATTTACATTTTTCATCCCATTTGTCAATAGCTTCTTCAACATGAGCTTGAGATAGAAACCACGTTAACCAATCCTGGAAATCTTGGAGCATGAAAGTTGAAACAGGTGTCCCTGTTTTGCGGTTACGACCAGAAGGTGGAGGTTTCTGATGTTTAGGGATTATTGATGGCAATTCAGGGATGTTGTGCGAGATGAAAAGATCTGTTTTGCAAGGGTCGCAGTTGCTTAGCTGGCAATATCCACATTCTGTAGGAGATGTGTCGATGTCATATAACAAAAAGCATGTAGGGCAGCAGACAAAACGCTTGAGTGATGCCTTGAGATCCAACCGCTTGGTGATTGTTCGCATGTCTTTTGGTGTGGTGATCTATTTATGATATCAAGCAAAAAAATTAATCATCTTCACTTTAACAAGTTATTAGAAAACTTCAGTGTAGCAGGAAATTTGAAATTCAGGATTTCAGATCAATTGAAGCTCTTAGAGGCTTATGTATACTTATTGGCTCAATATTATGTCATCTCATTTCAAAATTATTCTTAAGATCAACATAGTTTACTTACAAAGTTATTACAAAAAGACAGAAAAAGAAAAGATAAGAAAAATTCGAAAATATAGGTGTAAAAGTTGGAAAATGGTTTTAGGTTATTTATAATTAAGTTATGGGTTTTATAAGGTTCGAATATGAAAGAACAACACTTTATTATACAGTAACAATTTTAATCTTCCAGGTTGATAAGGGAAAACAGAAGTTATTAGCAGAAAGGTACTTTTTCGAAGTTGGTAAACAAGGGTTATGTGTGTAGTTTACATATGTAATGGTGGTAGTAGTGGAAATTAAGGTTGCCAAGAGGATTTTCCGGGATTTTTAAGGTTATAGAAGATGATGTCATATTACATGAGCAAGAAAAAGGGAGTAGTAGCTGTGAAAAGTGAAGAAAATGGGTGAATTTCGTCAAAAATGAAGGTTTTCAGCTTATTACATATGTCAAATGACGTCAGATTAAGTTGGTAGATAGCTCATTCAACGCAGATGAGTGGATCACATAATGTACAAACTTTAAATTATTAGTAACGGAGGTGTATGAAAAAAGTTATAAGGCAAATAAGAAATTGGTGTGAATCTCAAATTTACAGTCACAAGTCAACATGTAACACCAAAAACCTTAACTTCACAACTCAATATCTTACTCATCACTCATCAGAAGTAGGTCATATGGGTGTCAGAAATGATCAGTATACCGAGGGCTACAAGATGCACTATAGTAGATCAAAATTGGAGCACATCTGAAAAAATTTGTAATCTCAAAAATTGGTTTGCAGCTAGTTTACAAGGAAAAAATCACCTGTATTCATCTTAAGAAGTGCTGTACATTAAATAATTGCGTCATTGATCACTTTTGGCTGTGAAAATTACATCATACATTAGTAACAAGATCATTACATTGCGTCATGACATGGTTTTTAGGGTTCTTTAGGCGGATTTGACTGGTTTTTGAGGCTTTTGACTGTTGTAGAGGTTGTTACATGTGGAGATAAGTACTCTTTGATGATTTTGGGATTGTTGTTCCCTTTTCTGCATCTTATACCTTTGTTGTAGTGTTATAAATCATCATTTATTTACTATATTTGTACTAAGATCACTTAAATCCGCCCCTTCAAAGCAAGGAGAAATTTATTTACGTGTGTTAAAGACTATAAGTCAAATTGGTAATAATACTTAACAACAGTATTGCTAGTAATAACATAGTGTGTGGACTTTTTGCGCTTAAAATTGGGAATAATACTACACAACATTATTGCTTTATTTCTCTGGTGCCTTCATCTTTTTCTCTGTTATCACAAAGTGGTCAGCAAGTGCCCTTGTGCTGGTTTCTTTGAAGAAGGCAGTCTTTAGGAAACTTCTACTATATTACATGTAGTAGATTATCCCTTCTTAGGTGTTGTAAAGCTCTTGTTGAGCTTTGAATACTACATCGGCTGAAATCTGAAAATGATCGACGTATGGGTCCACTATGAGACCTTTTGAGCCAAGGGAAGGCGCCTTCAAAGGCAGACAAAGCTTTTATCAATAACACTGGAAATATGGTTGACAAGGCTCTTGTCCTCGAGAAAATAAAAAATAGCAACAACGTCTCTGATGCTGCTAAGACCTTCAGCAAAGATGAGCTGAAGACATTAGAGGTCTTGATTTATAAGTTTGAGCACAAGGTTTTTGTGGAGCCATCTGTAGCTAGACCTTGTGAATATCTCTTTGCAAACACTTCTAAAGCATCCAATATGTATTGTTCAACACCCAGGTCCCAAGAAGCGAAATCAAGACAAGCCTTGTGTTGAATCTTCCAATCAACCAAACTCAAGTTCTTCTGAAAAAAACCAATCAAAGTCTGCTTGTACTAATGCCACTCTGGCTCAGCGTATATTAGTGTTAGACTGGCACAATAAAGATGGTCGAGTTCAGGTCAAGACAGCAAAACATTTTGAAAATAGCTTTCCTGGTGTTATTGTGAGGGTAGAGGACTTATTTGAGGACTCTATGCTCACTAAATGGGTCAGGTGGGGTAGTATTATTTTTTTGTATAATGTTTATATTTCAATTATAATGTAATTACAATAAAAATAAGACTAGAATGAAAAGAGGAAAGGGGAAAGACTGGTCTGTTTGGATAAATCCAGACAGACTACAGTTAAGTGACTCCTAAGAAGGAGGTTTATAATTATAATAATTAAATGTTACAATTGATGAAGGATGGATCCAAAAGTCCTTCCTTTAATCTTTTTAAGTAACAGATTAAAGAGTGATATAAAGGTCACTACACTGGTTGTTCTTAAAGTCACCAACTTATGGTTGTTCTTAAGGTCACCAGCCTGAAAGTAATTGTACGTAGGTCACTAGCCTTAGGTTGTTGGAAGGTCACCAACCTAAAAGAGTTCCTACTTGGGGGAAGTAGAGGATCCAGAAAGGGTGAAGGTATTACTTACTTTTAATCAAGGAACTGATTAAAGTAATGAAGATATCACTAGTCTTATTTTTATAAGACTCTTGATTTGTACTTCAGTGGAACTTTAATGGTTCTTAAAAGTAGTGTGTAATAATTGCTTAGGGGTTTTCTCTGAAGGCTGAGAGAGGAGGGGTTTATATACTCTCCTCTCTAAACCTAACTGTAGTGATATTTGTTATTATCACTACATTGGTTCAGGGTTAGTCATTAACATATAGTAATGATTGTTACTAGTGATGCTTAGTTACATATACATGTTATGTGTGATATGTAATATAAGCATTTAACTCTTGACACTGAGTTATGAGGTGTAAATGGTGATTTATTACATATTACATGTTGTTTTACAGGTCCCTGTATATGTAATAAAGGTTTTGGTACATTGTATTACATGTTACATACAGTTTATATTCAGTATGTAGTATGTAATTGATTTTATACATAGGGTTTTTACTGTTACAGGTTAGTTTTGGGTACATGTATATGTACTCAGGGCTGACAGTTATCATAACACAACCTCTAGTCTCAAGTTGGGTACATAATGGATCGAAGTTGCGAGATAGTTACGAGTCTGATGTAGGACTTGGCATCAAGCG